TTTGCTTTTCTCCAGAAACAAGACTTCTCCCAAGGGTTTCTCCTGGCCTAGCAGACAGGGATGAACGTTTATGATGTTGCGTTAATCCAAGTAATTATTTTTTTGCAAGTTCAAGGCTAGTGTAGTTCATGCACTTCTCATTTCACCTAAGGTTTCGTTTTCTTTGAAGAGCCTGTGAGGAAGGAAAAATAACCAAGTTAAAACAGGCTAGGACATCTTCCAGAACTGTGCATAGCCGTGGCCTTTGTTGCACTTAATAATCATCTCTTAGCACATTGATGCCAAGGTGAGGGGCACAGAACAAATACTGGAGAGAGAGGAGGGCGGGGGGAGGGATGCCTCATTTTCATTATTCACCAGAAAATCCAATTTTCTGTTGTAATATGGAAATGATTGTTTCCTGAGTGTTTTCATTTTCTCAGAATTGATAATATATGTGTTCTCTGCTGAACATTTCTTTTTGCTTAAGTAAAACGTGGCCGGGTGATGTTCCAATACCAGCCTCTGAGCTTCCCCATTGAAATGGTGTTTCTAAGTAGTTTGAAGGGATCTAAAGCCAGAACACCGTTCACGCGTCGCAGGGTTTACCCTGTTTACTAAATAAAATCATGAGTCAACAGGAGATGTCCAGACGCTGTGCAACCTCTTATTTTCCATAAGCCTGCTTCGTTAGTGACATTTGCAGTTTTTTTCTCAGAACAGATTTCCTTGTCATAATGCAAATTATTTTTTAAACAATTTTAGTATATTAGAATAAATCAAGCTTTAAACTTTATTGTAAGGTTTAAAGGACCTTGTTAACATGACAGCTAAGAAGTCTAACACTTTAGTTGAAGTCTTATTACCGCTCATTCGTTTCCTTTTTATGACACATTGAACCACAGCTAGGTTTTTTTTTTTTTTTCCCCTTCTCTCTCCCTCCTTTTGAAACACTAGAAAGTAGTCGCATAATTACAGCTTGGGGACATAACACTTTCATCCTGATATGCTCCAAAGGTAGCCACAAAGCAAACTACTCCATGCTGTGTGCACCACCAGAACTCGGTGGCTTTAAACAACAGTCAGCTTTATTAAAAACTCCTCTGTTCCCAGAGTGGACAAACAAAAGAATTACTCAGATGTGAAAAGAAGGGGAATCTGTGTTCAGCAAGGTTATTTATTGTTAACCCCTTCTGGAGTCTTAGGCATCTACTTAAAAGGAATGTGCTGAAATTCTGCTGCTATAAAGAAGAAATGGGAAACCCTTTCTTCCTCCCTGCCCTCCCCCCTTTTCTTTTTGCCTAGCCCAGCATTTACCTTTTCTGTAATTCAAGAGACTGAATTCTTTAGTCTCTAAAGGAAGTTTTCCTTCCCCAGTTTGGGGTTTTGGTGAGGTGGTAAATAGAGATTCAGACTTACTTGAGACGTGAAGGTCTCCCTTTGCCTTTGAGCTTATTTAAGCGTGTTTATTTCAGTTGCTCTGAAATGTTCGAGCAAAATGATGGATTCAGTAAGGTTTCTTCCTCACACGCCACTTTGTGGTTAAAACCGACAGAGTACACAAGAAGTTGAAGGTTTTTTTGTTGTTTTCCATGCAGATCTCTCCCCAGGGGCTTGTATTACCCAGATAACCCTCCTAATTTGGGGGATGGAGTTTTTGCCAAGCTCGCTGTCTGATGTTTGTCCAACACGTGAGCTGCTGGAGGAGGCTGGCGTGGCTGTGCCTCCCCGTGGCTCTGTGGCCCTCTCCGGCTTTGTCTCGCTCGAGGTCGAGCAGCCCTGTTCATAACTTGGTGCTTGCTTTGCTTTTTGCTCCTGAAGTTTTGGGGTTTTTTTGACTTCTGGGAATCACACCAAACCTCAAAGAGAAACTCAGTTGAAACCACCTGGTTTCACCTGCTTTCATAACAAAACCAGAAGGGGGGCAGAGTTTGCTTTGGAAAGGTTTGGGGACCTTTGAAGGAGCTTTCACAGCATTTCGGGTGGTTGCAAGCACAGCAGGTACCTATCTTATTTGCTGGCACCCATTCATTTTTGTCCTGTGGCCGAGCACGAGGTGGTGTGGGGATGCGGTGGGACGCTGAGACGTGGCCCCTGAGCAGCCTTCAGAGAAACTCCTGGCCGTGGGCCGAGGCCGCCTTTGCTGCACGCGACATGCGTTCTCCTCTCTCCTTTGAAAGCTTCCCATCTGCGTTTTCAAAAATAATACTTTAAAAAAAAATAAAAATAAGCCTAGCAGCAGCATCAAAACCAGAAAGCCAACAAGCAAGACTTTTAAATTAAAACAGCAGTAAAAAAGATCACTGCCATGAAGGCCGAGTAGCACACACTTTTATCGGTCTCTGTGTGTAGCCGCTCTTTCCCCTTTTTCTTCTGTTTTTCATTTCATGTTTTCTCCCAAGTGAGGGGCCCCACAGCCTATTCATAATGTAAGTTTTTCTCCTTGCAAATGATCAGCATGGTTTCATGTTCGCTAGGGCCACAAACTGCCAGGACGGTTAGCATATGCGCACCTCTGAGATGACAGTCCACTCATGAGACTTTTTATATGCTTAAGCTAATTCTTAACCACTGATATTTGAATTGTCTCCTCCCAGTCTTCCCCCCACCTCCTTTTTCAATAATTAGGTCAAAAATGTATCAATATTGTCTCTCTCCTTATATTTTTTGCAAAAATTACACAACATGCAGAGGAACCTCTTTGCTCCCAGGGATGTGTTGATAGGACGTGTGTTTGTGAATTTGAAGGGAAAAGGTGTGGGTACGTGGGTACTGCATCACTTCTCCCCACCATTCCTTTGTTGGATGGGCTGGAAGGTGCAGTTAATACTTAAGTATTGATCTAGCACTTTACAACTCAAGAAGTTGAAATATGCAGGGACTTGAAAGGCATTCACAGCTCACATTAAAAATGTGTGTAGTCAGCAAGTTAGATGCTTCCTAAACTGATCCAGGCTCAAGTTGAAATAAATAAATAGGGTGCAATACAGCTTTGCACACTATACAAGCGTACAGCTGGTTCACCCTGGTCACTTGAAATAGGCAGGGTTACCTTTGGCTTGTACGTGGATACCGAGTACGTTTTCCCTGTTTGGTGATTTATTCTTGCTGTCTGTCAGTGCAGTGGAGTACAAACAGTATTGTCGTTCCTGTCCACACAAAACATAAAATAAAATGCAGCTATTTTAAATTATTCATTTTAAAGCAAAGCTGTGCAAGGAGAGAAAAAGTTCTTACAAATGAAGATTTGTGCTTCAGGTTATGTTTTCATGTAGCCTACGTGAAAGGGTTAAATCAGCCCGCATGGAGAAAAAACAAGACTCTAGGAGGTGGGTATCAACTCAATGAAAGACAGAGTGGGACTTGAACTCATTAACACTTTATTTTAAGGGATTGCCTACAACATCAATTATTTAGGAAGCAAACAGGGTCTCCATTGCTGTGTCGCATTATTAATACTTGGTAATGTCAATAAAATCCTACTTTCCTATAAAGTCCCACCAACAAGACACTATTGACTCACAAGGCTATTTTACATTTCAAAAGCTGCCGAACAAAAAAAAAAAAAAAGGTAATTTGTATTTGTATAGGATTTGTTGTAAATATGATTTACGAACAACATTTTTCAATTGTTATCATACCCGTTTTGAATGACCAAGCCCCATTCCCCTGTGGGTTATTCATGTGCTATGCCATAATGAGAAATTTGGCAGATCTCATCTCTTTAGTACATCCTTGTGCCCACCATGAGCTGGGGATCATGTTCTGCCTTGTTTACAGCTGACAGTGTTATTATTCTCGTTAGGACTGTGCTTTCTTATCATATTGTTGTGTTGAGCGAGCCTTTTCCTCTCTGTTTGTGTTTCCTGGCAGGGCTTTTCTTCCCTTATTGACAGTTTGTAAAAATATGCATTAATTTGGAGTTTAAAGCATGTATCATGGTGTCTCTTTGCTGTGTTTGCTTGAAGTTGATTAATGATAGAACCTCACTTGGGGTCGTCCTCTGGAGAGTTGTCTCACAGGTTCTGCATGTTAACGAGAGACGCCGCACACACAGCTAGCGATGATTAGCCCTGCCTCCGCCGGCTCGGCGGGCTGACAAACTGCTGCTTTGCCTTTTGGATGCTTATTCCGCTTATTTGTCCAAAGATTGTATTAATCAACTTAATATGTCAGCTGAGAGCATTTTCTCTCGATCCCGAGACGGAAACCCTATCGAGGTGCTCCTCCCAGAGTGTTTTCCCGGGGAAATTGAGCGCTGCCTGCCTGGCGTAGCCTTCGCTTGGCTCCGGGGACCGGTGCAGAAGTTGAGGGTCTTCTCCTTGGTGACCTGGAGCTCCTAGGCTTGGCACACCGGGTCTGAACACCCAAACCACCTCACCTTTCTCCCCAAACCACCCGAGCTGTCAAAACTGTTCTTTAACAAGCACCTTGCTGATTGACCGTATTCTTGTTTTTCCAGGCACCCCGTGCATGTCAAAGAAGAACCATTAGATCCAGATGAAAATGAAGGCCCGCTATCCTTAGTGACAACAGCCAACCACAGTCCAGATTTCGATCACGACAGAGATTATGAAGATGAACCTGTAAATGAGGACATAGAATGAGTATGTCTGACATCGTTATCCTGAGAATGAAGATTGGAAGAACACGTCAAACTTAGCTGTGAAATCTCTCCATTATTGTACAGTCTGGAGGATTCTCAGTCCACTTTGACAACTATGAAATATGTTAACTCTTAGTGCCATCAAGTATCCCATTTGGGAGTATTTTTGATTTTTCTACTTTTTGTTGAAAAAAGGAATTTGTACTCTGTGCATTGGATGGACTTGTTTGGTACTTGGGATTTTCCTCTCTTACAGTCAACATCAGTGTTGTAAATTTGCTAAACTGATTCACTTGCATTTAGCAGCCAGCTGTGGACTGCAGGTCCTGCCAATTTTGGACACTTGAGGACATCAAACTGAGCATGTACACCTGAACTGCAGATCAAGTCTTTGCCCAGATTTTAAGGATTCCAATGGACAACATATTTGCACAGTACTGCATGTTGATTATCACTGCCTTTACTCCATTTTTTTGTTTTTTGGTTGGTTTCTTTTTTTTTTTTTTTTCGCTCCTTTTCTAAAAACAATTCAGTGTGAAAGAATTTCATAGTACTAAAACTCCCAGACATAGACCCGATAATGGTTGTTTTCCCTCCCTTTTCTCCCTTTTTTTTTTTTTTGGTTGGTTTTTTTTTTTTTTTTTTTTGCTTCCATTTGGGATGGGGAAGGCCTGTGTGTGCACGTGTGTGGATATGTGTGTGTGCGTGTGAGCGTGTATATCGGGGAGGGGTTAAAAGAAAAAATTATCCCAAACTTTTTAATGTATTGCTTTTATTCCCCCGCCCCACTTCTCCTATACCATTTTAAGTTCTGACCTCAGGCCTCATCTGGGCCCAGGGCCTCTCAGAGGCTTCAACGTTTTCTGTACTTTGTGATGAATGTTAATAGGTGTTTTTATTATACGAAGCTGAATGTCATTGAATTGTTTGTAGTTTTTTCTGTCATTCATTCCAGTTTCCTTCAGATGCCACCATGTTTTCTTTAGCTATGGAAAACATTCCATTTCGGTGTCTCCTTTTTTTTGTTGTTGTTTTTTGAAAAGGTCCCAAATGCTGCACTATACATGTGGATGGGTTGTCCAACGGAGAGAGAGGAACGAAGTACTGCAAGAATGAGAATGAATGACAGATGAACATAGAAACACTGTAGGAAGCAACACAGATTCATTCCACAAAGCAGTATTTTTGCTATTTTTTTTCCTGGTTTGGGTTTTTTTGTTTTTTTTTTTTTTTGGCAGCAACGGTGAATATTAGTAAATGCCACAAAATTGAACAGCACAAAGAAACATATGCAGCACCAACAGAGTTCACTTTTATTAGAGGATGCATAGTACAGTGGCAAGTTCTCAGTTGTTTAACTCGAGTTCTAATGGGTCAACAAATCTTTCTGGAATATCTAAGATTTCTGAGATGGGCACCTGTACATTTATTATTACAATTTTTTTTCTTTTTGCATTTGCAAATAGTGGTTGGAAAGATGACTTCATTAAATTGTTATTGTACGTGGTGATGTTTCACAGTTAAACATCAGTTCAGGATTGCTTGGTGGCATTAATCTGTTTGAATACAAATTAGATTTCAGATTGAACTTGTTACGGGAGTTAATAAGGATGGAGCCCCACTAATGCTAAAGTGTTAATTTTCAGCTGTGCAAATCCAGTACTGCAGTTAAGATTGTTATGCAATATTACACCAGCCAGTATGGAAACCTCGCCGTAGGAGACAGGAGATCTGGGAGAGAATCTGTGCTGGGGCTTGTTAGGCAAAACTGGCAAGGCTCTTAAAGCAAACATGACATACAAAATTTGTTGCGATAGGTCAGTAAACCTCGGTCACCAAACACCTAAACATTTTCATTCTGCAACCACTTTCCCGTCACTCATTTATTTATGTAGGACTGTAGCTTTTTTATTATTTCAGAAAGCCTTTCAGAGCTTAATTTATATTCTTCTTTGTACCTTTTTTTTTTTTCCTAAAATTACCAAAGATATTACACAAAGGTAAATTATGTTCTCTGTTATATGCTTTATCTTATGAAGCCAAATATCCTCTTATTGTTGATCAAAGGAGGTTGAAGAATTTAGAGGGAAATGACAAGGTGTGGGCTATTGCTAACCTGAGAGGGAAACTGCTCCTTTATTCTAGAAAATTTAGAAGGCCAAGTAGATGTCTGAACCAAAGTTGTTACTTTTTATTTGCAATTCTTTACAGTGACCAAAAGGAAAGTCTGTAAAGAGGAATCGAGGAGAGCTTTTGAGGCTAAAACTAGAAATCAGTGTTACTGGTGGAGCTATGAAAAGGGAGCTGGAGAAAGCAAAGACACAGTTGTTTCGCGGAAAATTAGAGTATCAGATAAAGGAGACAGTTAATAAAATACAGAAGAGAACAGAAAAGCTCCCACAATTTAACTGGACCACATAATAGTATTTCTAGAATTAAATGAAAAAAAATTTTTTTGGTCTTTGGTTCTACAGATCGTGTGCCACTTCTGTTTCGGGACCGTGCTAGGATGACTGCTTTAATTTTGGTTGATCTTGGCACATTTGCTCAGTTTTGTTTAGTTTTTGGTCAGCATTTTTCATAAGGAAATAACACTCCTGTCCACTCATAAGCTTTGGTACAAGAAATTTTATTGGCAGTTACTTTTATAAAACTCAACTCTGCTTTCTGTTTCAAAGGACGAAAAAAAAAAAAAGAAAAGAAAAAAAGGGCAGTCTGTGGTCATTTGAAACATTTTTTTTTCGTTTAAATTATATCCAGGCAGCTTCGTGACGTGCCGGCGGTAGCCAGATGGGGATCATGAGAATTGAGCCCTGTGCTTCTGAACTGAGTGGTTTGCTGGTTAGTTTGGTATTCAGAAGGGGATAAAAATCTGGTAGATTAGTTCATTCTCAGCATGTGTAGCTAGACATGAGTAAAGATAACAGCATGAGAAACTGTTAGTACGCATACCTCAGTCCAAACTGTTAGGGAATGAGTAAATAAAAAATACATTTCACTCAGTTGCACTTAGTTGTATGTCTTGCATGCTTAGTCTAAAGACTGTAGCAAAAATAAAAAAAATAAAAAAAGAGAAAAAGAAATAAAAAATTAGATTTTAACATATCTGGCAGGTGTCGCAGCCTTGCAGAAGAACCAACTGAAAATCTCAGGCTTTACATCAAGCAAACTTCACTATGATTTTTACAATTCTGATTCTGTATCCCTTTGGATATACAGTTGCTTCTTTAGGGAGGGGTTTATTATGTTGTACATATATATCCCACTGTGTCTGTGTGAGCCTTTGTCTTTTGGGGGGAGGGTGGGGAGGGAGGAAAAGGTGGAAAGGTCCTTTTTTTAGATATCATTCCTCAAAAGGAATAAATGCAGACCTGTTTGTCAAAACACCTTTTGCTTTTTGTGCAACTGCTTTATATTAACTATACTAAAAAATAGCTTTGAAAAAAAAAAAACTACTGTATGTAATGGAATTGCAGAATACGCTGCACATGTATTTTATTTAGTTATCCTTGCTTTAAGAATATTGGATGACATTTGCTGACATGTGGGAGAAAATCCCTGACTCTTTTTTTCAGCTTTTAAATTGTAACATAGTTGACAGATTTTTTTTTTTCTCCTGTTATCATTGATCGAAGCATTTTTGTACAGTTTTTGTGTTTAAGCTGTTTTTTTTGATACTTTCCCACCCCTTCTGTTATCTTACCACTGCCTTTTCTGGCTGTCTTAAAAAAAAGTTCATATATTTGAAAGGAAAAAAAAAAAAAATTCATTTAAAAAAAAAAAATGTTTTTCTCCTGCTGCAGTAAATATTTTGCATGATGAATTCCAGGGTCACACTTTCAAAGTTTATCAGTGAAGTAGTGATTAATAATGGGGAGTGTCAAACTATTGAACTTTTGTATAAAAAAAAAAAAAAAAACTTTACAAGGTGCCAAGATGTAAAGACAATTTGTTACATGTTTTTTTTCTCAAAGAAAAGCGTACATTATGAAAGTAGTACCATGTATCAGGTAAATCGCTGTCAGGAATGAGAGTCAAAGCCTTCCTTGTCCACAAAACAAAAAGTTTGTAAATGTAAAACCTGTTAGGTTTCTGCATTCAACTAGAAGTGAAATGAAAAATCAAGGCTTATGTAGTAATAAGTGACCACAAAAAATACTACCTTTTTTGATTCTCACTCGCAAGCGTCCCGCCGCAGGTCCTGCACCTCCCCTCTCCTGGAGCTCCCGCTTCGGGAAGGGACCGGGGCAGGGATTCCGGTTCTACAAATATTGAAGATCATTAGATATTTTATATATATACATACATAAATATATATATATAAAGTTTTAAAAAATAATTTTGAACTATTGTAGTTTTCAGATTGCCAATAATCTCATGTTCATTATAGCATGGAAAAAAAAGAAGTGTTTAAACTCTTTTGAAATCCTTTGGTACCTTTGGTTAATGAACTCAGAGTGGGTTTTTAGATGTTTCAGAAGTCATTTAGTATTCTAGTCTTGCGAGGTGAATTTGCAGTTAACGACTGCATTTTAATGGGCCCAGAACAGGTAACAAAGTATCTTCTACCCATAAGCCTTGATGAAAATGGTACAGTCCAGACTGTTAGCATGGTGCTTCGTGTGTATGTGCTGCCAGTAACAAGATTTTTTTTTTTTTTTTGATAAGGCATAAAAGAAACTCATTCCTTACATCAACTGTAATTCCATCATTCCATGTCTGTTGATACAGACAATAAAAAATGTTGTGTAGTCAGTACTAATTACTGACATTATAGCATTCTCAAATGCAATAAAAATGCTGGTTGTTCACACTGGTAATGCAAGTTGCCATGTCCTAAGTTTTTGTTTTGTTCCACCCCCCCTCCAATGACTCCCGTGTCACGTCCCCTGAGGCCCCGGGCCCCAGCGCTGATCCATGGAGCAGCTGGTTGCATCTCACCCATGTCCCAGCACGTTCGTGGACAGCCTCATCGCTCTCCTTGGGTCTCCCCCAACCACATCAAATCGCAAGATATTTTAGCGATGGTTTCACGGTCGGTCTGGACAAGGGCGGTCGTTTGTTGCTTGAGCACTGGAAGCGAGGAAGATGCTGTCATTCGAAGAATTCATCCACTTTTCCAAGAAAGTCCATCGGCGTTTGACCATTAGGGTCAGGGTCACGGGGAGTTGAGGGTATTTGCTTTCTCGTTGGATTCCACTTCAAAGGGGAAGGCGTGAAAGAAGGGGTTTGGGGCCTCGTCGTGCAAATCCTGCCAAGCGCGGTGCCCTAATGGGAGTGGTGCTGCTGGCTGCGGTGGGAAGGGTTAAAGGCATATTGTGCGTAGGCAAGAGGGGGTTTGCAGGATCAGCCTCTTGGTCCACAAAACCGTGAGGCACAAAGTCCCAAGTCGCACTGTCACCTGAGACAAACTTTAAAGGAAAAACCCACCTTCTTTTCTTTCGA